CGAAACCCGGTTTCTAGCGTTGTAAGTCCGCAGGCATACCGCTGTGCTATTGGGGGGCCTTACCGCAGGCAGCGCACCGATAGACAATTGTACAGCTTTGTACTTAATAACAAGGAAATAAATATACACATAAAATCAATGATATTAATAGTGTTTACTGGAATTTACCTAAACTCTCCCGATTATAGAGCCCCGAATATTTCCAGATATGCCTTTATTAACACCACGACGTGTTTTTATAACTTGTTTCGCTATATTTTCTAGATCATTTTGAACTCTATGCACAAATACCAGCCCAGGTTTCACCTCGTACGGGCTAATGACATCCTCAAACTGCCGTACAGTACGTTCCGTACATACGTTTTCAAGGAAACCAGTTTCTACGCTGTTACCGCTTATCAAAATGAAAAGGTAAGTGATATTGAAACACAGTAAACGAAACTTTGAACTACTGTTATACTTTACAACTATATGCAGGTGTTTCTTACATCTGTAGGTTTCAGAGTCACAATAACATCGGGTTAGTGAGGACATCACATGCAATATGTGCGTTTTTCTGTATAACAGACACACAGACAGACACTTGTACGAATAACAGAAATATACACCCGTTAGCCCGAGCGCGTTTGAAAGTTAGTCCTTCATTGCTTCATCCCCGAGGAAGAAAGTACTCCGATTATTCGGTTTCTAATTGTAAAACTATATAACGAACTAACTGCACTCTGTTCACCGCGGAGAATCGAACCCCGGATTTTAGCTTTGACCATCGGGGGACTTTAGTTTTTGAGCCTGCAAACCTGTAAGTATCGTGAAATTTCCATGAATACCAATCTCATGATGGTGGTCTCGTGATTAACGGAAATGACGTCACAAAGCTGAAGACAGTAATTTGATATGTGCTTTTTTTGTTGTTGTGGTGAATCATAAACTACTTTTGTAGCAATAATTTGAAACTGGTTGCTTTTATTGCCTAATTACAAGATAATCAGGCACCTAGGTAGCTCAGCACACAATCTTTATGCAGATTTAAAATGTTACTACTTTTGTAGATAGGCCTAGTGGTAAATATTTCATTTCTCTTTTATTTTATGTTTTTGTCTCCCTCTCTCTTCATAATCATTAATAAATAAACGTAAATAAAATAAAAGACTGTAAAATAAAGACTGATGTGTAGTGGTTTTGCTACTGTTAGTTTCCCCTTTATTAGTGAGGCTAGAAAATAAGCATAATATGTAGTGTTTTTGTTGATGTTTATTTCTACTTTGGCTCCCGATGGTTTAGTGCTAAGTCTAAAAGCTTGCAACACTAAAAATCAGGTTTCGATAATCGGGGCGCCCACAGCATAGATAGCCCACTATGTGGCTTTGTGCTTATCAAGAAACAAATGTTTACTTGTGCGTTGTTAGCAAAGGTGAAAAATACAAATTAACTTGTACTCTTTCTTTTGTTGTTGGTTTTTGCTTTGTTAGCGGAGAGTTAGTTGCTTATAGCATTCTTTTATTGTTGTTGTTGTCATTATTGGTAAAAAAATAACTTTCCAATTCCATATTGTGTTCAGTTGAATAAATCTACTGTAAATAAGACCTGCGCTTGCCTTATTTATATATTTAAGGCTGAAAATATCGTTAGCAGCGAGAATACCCAACTAATGGACCAATGCATTCTAATTTCTATAAGTAGATATATAAGAATAATATAGTTGATTTGCTATATTGATGGCCGGTTTTAGTTTTGGTTTCGCTCTGGGCTTACTCTGTTCAGAAAATATTTTTATAATTATTAATGAAAATTCTGTTAAAGTACATAAAACTATCCAAGACACACACACACTCATATTTTGTACACAATGGGTTTATTTATTACAGAGAAAAGACGTCAAAACAAGTTATTGTAATTAATGTATATACACCCTCGTTTGAAATGTATGTATGTAATTATTTCTACAACCATTATCATAAATGGTTAAGTTTCCTATTGCTAAATAGTCAAGTATGAAAAGCCAAAAAGTATAGTTCACAGATCTATATATATACACAAATATCCAGCAGAAATTACCTATAAATTCCAATTAAACATCTTGTATGTAAATTTTGGAATTTTTAACGTGTTTGTTTTGGGTTGTTGTTTTTTTTCTTCACTGCTGATTCTAGAAAATGTCGGAAAATGGTTGCTATGTCACGCATGGTTCGAACATATATTTTTTTACACCCGTAAAATACTTTGATGCTATCCAAGCTGGAAGATTGAAATGCCAGCAGGTGGAGAAAAACAAAATGTTGTTGTTTGTTATTAAGCACAAAACTACACAAAGGGCTTCTGTGCTCTGCCCACCACGGGTATCGAAACCCCGTTTCTAGCAGTATAAGTCCACAGACGTCACTGGACGACGCTGTGTCACTGGGGAGGGGGCAAGAAATACAAAATGTGGACTGTAGTTGAATTCATTTGGTATCAAACAAACTATGTTAGTGATTTCTGAGTTCGAACCGTCAGTAACTTTACGAATGAAAAAAAATAGATATTCTTATTTTTCACCAGCCTGCTCTGGATTGCCATTTCTATAGTAAGTTATGTAAGAAGGATCTTCAATGGCACAGCGATAAACTTTATGGTTTATAACGCTAGAATTCGGGGATTGATTCCCTAGGCGGACATAGCGCATTAAGCAAACAGACATGAAACAAGGAAGTGACTACCAATGCACGTGTTCTACACAGTTCCAGATCATTTGAGTGATTTCTAACTAACTATATGTTTATGTCTTTATTATAGAGTGTAAAATACAATTTTTGTTTGTTGATTTTTTTTTTAATTTCGCTTAAAGCTACACGAGAGCTATCTGCGCTTTCTGTCCCTAATTTATCACTGATAGACTAGAGGGAGTGCAGCGACTCTACGCCACCCACCCCTTAATCTTGGGCTGCTTTTTACCAACAAATAATGGGATTGACCGTCACTTTATAATGCCCCGCGGCTGAAAAGGCAAGTATGTTCGGTGACGGGGATTCAAACCCACGACCATCAGACTGCGAGTCGAGTACTTTAATCACCATGCCATGGCAGATCAGGAAAATCCATTTCTGTCCAAGAAGTCTCATCAGAATTAGATATCTAACGACCATTTTAATAATGTTTTGAAATATGTACCTACAACTTGTGATCGGTCTGTTATGAGAGCATATATATGGACTATATTATCTGCTAGTTACACAATGAGGACAAAGTGTGGGGGGTGGTGTCATCGGCCGTTAGCAACAAAGGCCACGAGGAAGAAGTAGAGAGTTCATGAGCTGTGAGCTACACAGGCCACGAGGAAGAAGTAGAGGTTTCACGAGCTGTTAGCTACACATGCCACGAGGAAGAAGTAGAGGTTTCACGAGCTGTTAGCTAAACAGACCAAAGAAGAAGTAGAGAGTTCACGAGCTGTTAGCTAAACAGGCCACGAGGAAGAAGTAGAGGTTTCACCAACTGTTAGCTAGACAGGCCACGAAGAAGAAGTAGAGGGTTCACGAACTGTTAGCTAAACAGGCCAC